ACCCTGTCTCAAAATTAAAAAATAAAGCTGGGTACTGTGGCACACACCTGTAATCCCAGTGGCTTGGGAGGCTGAGGCAGGAGGATCACAAGTTCAAAGCCAGCCTCAGTGAAAGCAAGGCACTAAGCAACTCAGTGAGACCCTGTCTCTCAATAAGATACAAAATAGAGCTGGGGATGTGGCTCAGTGGTTGAGTGCCCGGGTACCGGTACCAAAATAAATTAAAACAAACAAAGTTTGGTGTAGTGGTGCATGCCTGTAATCCCAGAGACTCAGGAAGCTAAGGCAGGAGGATCGCAAGTCCAAGACCAATCTCAACAATTTAGGCCCTAAGCATCTTAGGAAGACCCTGTCAAAATAAAAATTTTTAAAAAGGGCTTGGAGGGGCTGGGCTTGTGGCTCAGCGGTAGAGCGCTCCCCTAGCACCAGTGGGACCCGGGTTGGATCCTCAGCACCACATAAAAATAAAGGCATTGTGTTGTGTCCATCTACATCTAAAAAATAAATGTTTAAAAAGGGGGGGGGGGCGGGGAGTGTTGCTCAGTGGTTAAGCACCCCTGAGTTCAAACCTCAGTACCAAAAAATAAAAAGGGATGGGGTGTAGCTCAATGGTAGAGCATCTTCCTAGCATGTGTGATAGGTTCAATCTCCAGCACTACAGGAAAAAAAAAAAAAAGGAAAGAAAGGAGCTGGAGATGTAGAACACTTGCCTGGCAGTGTTTAAAGGAGAGGAGTTAAGAGGCAGACTTTACAGAATGACCTGACACTAACTGCATTCTTCTTCTTTTTTTTTTGTACCAAGGATTGAACTCGGGGTCACTCGACCACTGAGCCACATCCCCAGCCCTATTTTGTATTTTATTGAGAGACAGGGTCTCACTGAGTTGCTTAGTGCCTGGTTTTTGCTGAGGCTGGCGTTGAACTCGCCATCCTCCTGCCTCAGCCTCCTGAGCCACTGGGATTACAGGTGTGTGCCACGGCACCCAGCCAAACTGAATCCTCATTGCTACAGCTTGAGTAAGGTTTGCCCCCAAAAGTTTGTGTGTTGGAACCTTGGTCCCCAGTGTGATGATGCTGAGGTGAAGGAGCCCTTAAGAGGTGGGGCCTAAAGGAAAGTAATCAGTCATCAGGACTCCGCCCTCATGAATGAACTAGCGCTGGTCTTGCAGAATGCATTGGGTCTTGTAGGAATGGACTGGGAGGGGAGGACTCATGATCCCCATTCTGTAGGTAGGGAAAACCAAGACATAGAAAGTGCTTTACCCAAAATTACATAATAAGTCAGAAAACAAACTGGGTTAAGGGTCAGGTAGAATCATTCATGTACCTTTCCAAAATACCCACATCTGGCTCCTCCCCAGTTTCCTGCTTCTTGTCTTGCCATGTGACCTCTCTCATGAGCCTCTACCATGGAATGTCCTTCTCCACCAAGTCCTCACCAGAAGCCAGATGCTGGTACCTCCACATCTGTGAGCTAAATAAACCCTTTATTTACAAATTACCCAGCCCTGGGTATCTTGTTTTAGCAACACAAAAGGGACTAAGAAATTCACCTATCTTCACCACCCCACAGACTCTTCTTCGCTGTTGGCAAATCCTCCTTGCTGCCCTGTTGAAAGCCCAGGATCTCTGTGCTTACAAGGAATTTTCCATTTTCCTGTCCAGTTGTGGTATGGGCATTGGTCACTGCATGAGAAGGACATTGGACTAATTTCACCAATGATTTCATCTTAAATGGTTTTGTCCTGTTTCCCTGGTAACCAACCAAACTAAAGCTTCTTCCAACCCTTTCCACTCCTCCCCCCATCCCCCAACTCCTTCACATTCTCTCTTTTTTGAACAAGGTAAATGTGAAGGTCTGTGGCCACTTCCAGACTGCAATCCCTTGGATAATAAGAAAACTTCCAGCATGGCTCTTTCTGCCCAGTTCTGGAGACTTGTGAGAATCCTGTACTGCCCCGTAGAATACACATCAGGGGGCTGTTTCCTACCCACCATCCATGGCCCCTCCCATGTTCTCTTGCCATATTTTAGAATACGAAACAATCTTTTCTCTCTGGCATCATTTCAAAGAAAAGAATATAAATTAAAGGCCCAACAGATTCTAAAAACCGTTCCTCTTTAGAAAGTACCATGAACATTTCCCTAGAAAACAGAGGTGGGTCTATATTTTAGTGAATGGTCTGGAATTTGGAGAGACCGTTCCATATTGCCACTAGGTTTGGCTTCTAATTTTGCTTGAATTTTACTTAGCTATATGAATTTTTTTTTTAAGAATTCAAAGGGGCTTTTTGTCTTTAATGGTGATTCTTAGTGCAAATCTCCCCCCCCCCTCTTTTTAATACTGATAATTGAACCCAGGGGTGCTTAACCACAGAGCCACATCCCCAGCCCTTTTTGAGACAGGGTCTCACTAAGTTTCTTAGAGCCTAAGTTGCTGAGGCTGGTCTCAAACATTCGATCCTCCTGCCTCAGCCTCTGAATCACTGGGATTACAGGTGTGCACCACCGTGTCCGGCACAAATCTCTCATGGTGACATTTGGGCCTGAGCCTTCACACCACATGTGACACTATCATCTGCAATGTGCCTTCCAAGGCCATTCCTTCTATAATAGGTCACAGTTGCACATTATACTCTAATTATATTATGGTCACATGACCCTTACTGTTTATAGCAATTGTGCCTGCAGTTCTAGAGTGATAGAACTGTGAAGGTCATGTGGATTCTGATTCATCCTCACAGTGCTTGTGTGAAAGGGAGGGAAGGAATCATGATCCCCATTCTGCAGATGAGGGAACCAAGACATAGAAAGAAAGGTGATCTACCTGAAGTCACTCAGTAAGTCAGAAAACAAACTGGGCTCAGAACCAGGTAGGATCACCCATGTACATTAGTAACTTGTCAAAAAAACAAAACAAAACCAGATTGTCCCCTTATATGAAAGCACATACACTAAAGTAAGTGGTTTTGAGGCCACTTCAAAGTTCCACACTTTCTATGAAGGTTTCAGAAAACCTTTAGCAACTCAAGAACCACAAGGTAGGAACCAGAATCACATTAACTTTTTAGTTAAATATCTGACTCACAGACAATACCAATGATTACAATTCACTGACAACCTGGTAACCAACAAGGAGAAATTTTAAGGGAAAAATTCATCCATTCAAGAACTAAACCTCGGCACACAGCTCCTTTCCTGGCATCACCGTCTCAATTGAAACACCTAACCACTGTTTCCTTCCACATAATACGATACTCTTGTATTTGTTAGCATGTAATGGAGTGGGGTGGTGGGTTGGCAAAGTACGTGTGAGTGAGTGCATATGTAACCAGCCATTTTAGGGTCAGTTCTGCCCAGCAGAATATGCATGAAAATGTCTAATGTAATAGTTCTCTACCCTGATTCCTTCTTCTTTTTTGGTAATTTCTTTATTTCCTGACCTTGAGTTAATGTAAAAAGTAATGTTTTACTTCCCACCTTCCCTGATGAAGGCAGAGTCAATGGATGGATATAGCAGGGGCAATTTCAGCTTCATGGAAGGAAAGCGCTCTGAGGGTTAAAATTGCCTGGTGATAACTGAGCCTTTTGGACCAGGGTGTGGCCTGGTATTGCAAGTACTTCCTGCTAGAGGCTAAAAGACCATCTGTCCATGATGTACTGCCCCTTCCAATGCCAGGAATCCATATTCCCAGAAACAAACTAGGCTCACAGCAGTCCTCCTGCCTCCCAACTCCAGGTCAAGAAAGGCACAAAGATGTCCAACAAATAATACTGAAGCCGAGCTTTGGATCCAGGAGACCATGAGGTACCAGAAGAGGAGTTCTGATGGCCCCATCTGGCAGTTAGGAAAGGTGAGGCACCAAGAGATAAATTAAATACTTTCAGTCATACTTGAGAAGGTACCAGAAATTTAAGGGAGAGACTCTCTTTTTTCCTGGGAAGGGAGGGGGTGAGACTCTACCAACAATAGTGAGCACAACTTTCAACACAGAGACAAGTCTAGCTCTTCAGCCACCACAGGACAGCAGCCAAGGATACCATAATTGTCTTCAGAGTGGTGGAGCTGATTCCTTCACAGAGGGAATCCCTAACTCCAAACTCTGGGGCCCTTGAGACTGCATCCAGGGCTGAAGATTTAGGCAAGAACGGCCTGGGCAGGCACATAAGGTAGCTCTGCTTAAGGCATGGCTGCTGTCTGCCAGGCATGGGCTTCACACTGGGAGGTGAGCATCAAACACCACTGCCCACCCCAAACCATCCTGCAAGGAGCTTCATGGGTAGACAGTGTTGCCTGAGGAAACCACCACCTCCTGGGCCCAGGATTTCCATTAAAGCTTAACAGCATCACCAAACCAATCCATTTCCTGTGCCACTTGGGAGAATGAGAAAGAGACAAATTGATCATTATCTGTGGATGATTGTCTAACTAGAAAACCTAAGGGACTCAACTGAAAAAGTATCAGAGCTAATAATACAATTTGCTCTGGTGACGGATTGATAGTCAAGCATACAAAACACCAATGATTTTCTGGTTCACTTTGTGCATGGCCTGACACCTTGGAAGTGCTGTGCTTTTCTGGCAGGCCTCCAAGCTTTGTGCAATGTGCCATATTTTGAAAGACGGAGGTAATCCTGATGCCCCTCAGCTGGTGCAACTGAAAGCCTTCTCAGACACCAGTATTAGAAAGATGCCTTGGGCAACTGCGATTGAAGGGGTGTCCCCCTCCATGCTCTTGAGGGGTGAAGAGCTTCCTACGCAGCTACACTCTATTCCAACCCAAAAGACATAGAGAGGTTTGGCAAGGGTGGATGTAGGCAAAGACTGTGCCACGGCATCTCCAAACGAAGTAATTTTTTTTAAAAAAACAGTGCAGAATGAAAAGTTCCATGTCTGTCCTTTCATTGCTTCGTTGGCCGGAAGCCTAGGGAGTTCATGGTGCTGGCCCTGGAGTTCCGCCCTGGGACTCTGTGCCAGTCTGGCCAGCGCAGCGCAGCAATCATTTGCGGTCGAGGCTGGCGTGTAGTTGGGCCTCCCGCACCATTCGGTCGAAGGAGCGTGTGTTGGTTTCCTCTCGCACCTTCTCACGCACGTGGAAGGAGGCGCGGGCTGTGGAGCGAGCACTTTCCAGCGCACTTCGTCGTTCCCGCGTCAGCTGCTCGCTGCGCTCCAGCTTCCGCCCAATTGCTTGGAGCAGCTCCCTCCGGCGGCAGTCTTCGTCTCTCTCTACCTTCTCCTTGTTAGCGCGCTGGGCCCGTTCTTTCTCCAACCGGGTCTGGCCCACGCGCCGGGCCTTTTGCTGCACTGCCTCTTCGGCCACCTGCGCGGCGTGCTGCAGCCGTCGTTCCCCGGCCCTAGCCAGGGCCTCCAGGTGAGCCTGATGTTCCCGCTCTTTGCGTTCTGCGGCCTCCTTGGCTCGCCGGCTTTGCAACTCCTCCTTCCGGGCCCTCTCCCTCAGCTCCCGGGTGCGCTGTTCCACCAATTGCTCATAGTTTTCCTGCGCGCGGCCCAAGCTGGCCTCCAGGGAGCTCCGCAGGCCCTCTCGCTCTTCATGCTGCTGCCGGGCTCGACCCCGCAACAACGCCTCGTGTCGCGCTCGCTCTGCACGACTCAACTCCCGCTTCTCGCGCTGCAGCTGGCCCTCCTGCCGCTGCTTGGCGCGGGCTGCTCGCTGGGCGCGCTCCCTGCGGACCTGTTCAGCCCGCTCGCGCCCTTCCTGCAGGCCCTCTTCCCGCTGCTTCAGGTTCTGTTCCTGCTGCAGCTTACGCAGCCGGTCCTCCCGAGCGGCGCGCTCCACCCGCTCCCGCCGCAGTAGGCCCTGGCGCTCGGCCAGCTCCCGCCGTCGTTCCTCGCTGCGTTCGCACTGCTGCTGTCGCCGTCGAGCTGCCTCACGCTCCTCGCGGCCCCGGCGGCCGCGTCGCTCCTCCACCTGCGCAGCCCAGGCCCGGCGGCCTTGCTCTAGGGCGCGCTGCTTCTCGCGCTCCTCCCGCTCCCGCCGCTGCTCGGCACGCACGCGCTGCTGCTCCCACTGGCCGTGGGCTGCGGCGCGCTGCTCCAGCAACAGGCGCTCCTCTTGGTGCCGCGCCAGCATGAGCGCAGCGATCTTCCGGTCCCGTTCTGGCACCCCGCGCAGGCCTCGCTCGGCGCGCACTTGGCGTACGATGCGCTCCACGTGCTGAGCAGTCTGCGGAGAGTGGCTCAGGTCGCCAAGGCTGAAGCTTCGGCCTGTAAGTGGAACCAGGGTAAGCGCCGAAGGACGGCCCAAAGGGTTGGAGACAGAGGACGCTGACCCTGCCGGGCAGCTGTTCCTGGCTGAGGCCCGGGGCGGCCAGCGAAGTTCTCGAAGGCTCTCCCCGCTGTAGGAGGACGACGATGCACCGGACTCGGAGCTGAGAGCACCGTCACGCCGGCGGGACAGCGAATCCAGCGAGTGGCTCTTTCTTCCTGTCCGAGAACCTGCGGGAGGAGGCTGGGTCCGAGCAGAGGAAGGACTGGGAGAGGCCTTGCGGGCGGCACGCGGTGCGGGTGACGCGGGGAGGCTGGTGCTGCTGCAACTGCTGCTGCTACCCGCGCTCTGAGCTGGGGCTGATGCTGAGGCCGCGGCGGCGGCTGCAGCCGCGGGGCCCAACGGCGTGAAGAGGCGCCGCTTCTCTTCGCGTACGATTCGCTCGCGCTCGGCCCGGCACTGCTGTAATTTGGAGCGCCGCTCCGCCTCGTACGCCTCGTACAGGCCAGTGGCCACCCGCATGGAGCGGCCAGGGGCCTCGCGCACTAGGTCAGCCAAGGCCCGTGGCAGCAGCTCCACGGGCTTGACAGCACAGCGGGCGCAGGCCTCTAGCGAGCGGGGGCTGGTCAGCACGTAGCGGCTGCCCTCAGCCTCGGGACAGTCGAAGTTGAAGAGGTCGAGGTGCAGCATCGGGGACTGCTCCCGTCGTCCTCCTTCTGCTGAGCCAGGGACTTCTGCCTTGTGCGGCACCGCCGCGGAGGCCGAGGCAGAGGAAGCTGCGGGCTGCTGGGCGCCCTGGGCGTCAGGGGGCACAGACGCGGTGGCCCCGTCCCCTTCCGAGCCTCCGGGCTCTGCTCCCTCCTTCTCCTCTTCAGGCACTGGGTCCACCATGGCTGAGCCTCGTCTTTTGTTGAAGTCTCTGCGAATGACAAGGAGGGACATAGAGGAATACAGCTGAGAACTGTTTCCCCCTCCTCATCCATATTCACCCCTCCTAACTTAATCCGATTTCAGATTAGGCTCAGAGGCCTGGTGGAACGTAAATCGTAAAACCGATGCCCTGAAAATCCAGGCTGGGGGGCCGGGGAGGGAACTGGTCCTCAGAGCAGCCTCAGTCTCCCTCGGCCCCGGAATGCGAGTCCTGTGGTTAACCCCCCTGGGCATCTAGCCCTCTAGATGCACCCCCATTCTACTGCAAGTTAAAATGAAAAGATACTAGTGCGGGCAGCAGCCATCGGGGGAGGCGGAGAGGATTCCCGGGCGGATTAGTGTATTTGTTTGTAGCTTAGGCGGGCTGCGGGGATGCAGCTTTGCAGGAACAAAAAAAGGAAGAGGCCTGTTCATCCCAAAGTGCATTGCTGCAAGGACCCCATTTGCCTCGGGAAGAAGTTTACATTTGATTTCCACTGCCAAAGGAGATCCGTGCGCGGGCCCCCCGGGTGATGGAAGGACTGAAAGAAATCCCCAAAGACCCTTGCAGGAGGGTGATGGTTTCTTGCTCGTGTCTTTTGGGCAGGGCTTGTTAGGAGCTCTGCCCGCCCCCTCCACCCCCAGCCCCCACCGGGTGTTTACAGGAGATGCCGAACGCGCCTGCAGCCTCCCACATGCACCCAATCTCCTCCAAGTCTAATGTGCTAAAGGTTTCCTCCACTCGTCTGGGCTAGAACACCCGCCCCCTGATGCCCACCAGTTCTCCCACCGCATCTCCGCGGGCTGGGCTCCTTGAGCGCAGCGAGCCCAGCCGCGCCAGTGCCTGCCGCTTTGGGTTCCAGATCTGTTCACTCACCCCACCTCCCGGGCTCCGGCCCCGCGCTGAGGGCTTTTGTTCGAAGCTCCGCTCTCTCCCGAGCCTCTTCAGTCTCTGCACTGGCGGGGTCGGGTTACTGCGGGCTGCAGCCACGAAAGGAGCCCCAGCTGCCGCCGCCTGCGCCTCTCCATGGGGTCCGCAAGCAGGGTGCAAACACCCCAGACACTACCTACACGCAGGAGGGGGAGTGCGACAAACTCTCCCTAAAATAAAGCAGCTCTGTTCCCTTCGCTCTCACTGATTCTTAAAAAAGGAAGCCGGGTTCCATCGCTGCAGCATCCATCTCCACCTCTACAACCGTGAAGGTACCGCAGGTTTTTCGCTGCCCCCGGCGCCTCCTGGTGGACACATAAGGGATAGTTTATTTGCTTAGAGGATGAAGAAATAAAAAATGCAGCATCTATATACAATATGTATATATAATATTTATGTATACATGAATACTAAATAAACATCTATATGGATATATCACCAAGAAAACTAGGCTTTCTGAACCTTAGCTGAGTAGAGTGAAGGAATCACTCAGCTTATTTTTCAAGGGGATCCTGAGAAGCAAAGAAACTTGATAGGAATAATTGGGTGGACATGTGGCACCTGATCCAAACTGTAATTTTATTTTTAAAGAAAGACTAAGCATACTCATATAGATTCGAGGCAGGAAGAACATATGTGTCTAGTTAATGCAACATTTTATGACTTACTAGTTCCAGATATAAAATTAAAAGCAGTTAGAATCATTTCATGAGTGTTATGTTGAGATACCTTCTCCCCACCTCTTTTCCATTTTGAGTGGTACTGACCAGAAGAGAGGGATGGAAGAAATCCTTGAGGGAGGGGAGTCAGGGGAGTATGAGGGGAAGAGCATCAGAGACCATGGTGAACTGTGTTGTTAAAGAACTTTGACGTAGTAAAGTAGGCTGTAAGGAGAAAATGAAGAATTTTAAGCAAGGAAATAACATGATTTGGTTAATATTTGAAGAACATGACTCTAGCAACAATAGGGTGGGGACCAGGAGGAGGCAGGAAGCCCAGTTATCTAGACACTGCATTTACCCAAGGCAGGGAGGATTGGGACCAGAAAGAGAGAGCAATGGTGGAGGAATGGGCCCTATGGGGAAGCCTATGGATTCTGGAAGCAGAGTCAAAGAATCAACACTCAAGGACGACATGGCTCTGGGGTGTGAAGACAGCAAAGGGTCAAGGCCGACTGCCTGGAACAAAAAGGTGGCTACATATGCCCCAGAGAGTGGATCCAACAGGGAGGTTTTAACTGGTGTGGGGGCCAAGGAAGGACAGGTTTCTTTTTCTACCACTTGATTGTGGGGCAAGATCCTAAACCAATAGTCTGAGATTTCCCAGGGAGGGCAGAAGAGAAGCTGGCAGGTAATGGTGCTGTTCTGGGAAAAATAGTCCATGAAGGAGGCCAAAAAGCAGAGGCAGGAAAGTGGTCTAGTGTAAGCTACTAGCAGAGCACTTCAGGAGAATGTGCCCTTATGCTCAGTCCTCAGAGGTCCAGAAGGATTCCTACTAGAGTCAAATACCTATGGAAACTGTCGATTGTCAGTCTTTGGTAAAACTGGCAAAAGTAGCTTAGTATAGTGCCCAAACCAGATACCACAGAGCAGGAAGTTGAGGTGCATGGGGGATGACAAAGTGAAAGTTACAGATCTTTTTGACATTGGATGATAGTGTTAGGAACTGTGAAGGGTTTGGAATTTTATCTCACTTATATGCTAGCAAGTGAGCCTGCCACAGTCTGTGTCACAGATGTTGACAAAAGACACGAGATTCCTGGGTCAGAAACAAAGGACCTTGTTACTCATGGCACAGTAGGCACATGAAGTTCATGGTTTTGCTCCACAGGTCCCACAGGGGCTTGTGGAGAGGTGAACCCAATTTGTACATGTCCTTACAAAATAACCCAGAACAGAAGCCTTATAAGACATGTAGAATGACTCAAAGGATTGCTGTCCGTGGAGAAAAGGAGCAATTGCTCACATGGCTGGTAAGAGGTGGGGCTGGGATTCGGACCTGGCTTTGTCTGATCCTGAATTGAACCCATATATTTCATTTCCACACAAAGCTGAGCATCTGGAGAGGTGTGGATTCAGGTGGAGATGAATGGGGTGGTCAAGTCGACCTCTCCAAGCCTGTATTTCCCCCTCTTTACATGGAATCCTATTAAGTTGCCTCCCTCAAAGATTAATCAAATCACCAGGAGCAGTGCACATGCCCGTAATCCCAGGATCTCAGGAGGCTGAGGCAGGAGGATTGTGAGTTCAAAGCCAGCTTCAGGAACTTAGTGAGGCCCTAAGCAACTCAGCAAGATCCTGTTCTAAATAAAATATAAAAAGGGCCAGAGATGTAGCTCAGTGGTAAAGTGCCCCTAGGTTCAATCCCTGAAACAACAACAACAAAAAGATTAATGGAATCTATAAAAGAACTATATAAATGTTATCTTTCTCCTCAGTTTTCACATTTGTTAAATAGGGACAATTACATCTGCTTTGTAGGATTGTTGTCAGAACTGGAAAGACTATATACAAAGTACCTAAACCAACACACTAAGCGGTGATAAAATACTTACCATTTAGATACCTTATCTTCCAGGCTTGGTTAGAACCAATTTGGAAACATCTATAATGTTTGCCAAGTTCTCAGGGGGAAGCCCCTGAAATGTTCTACTCTTGATTATGGCATGATTCTTTGGGAAGGTCATAGAAGAGGGCATGAGAAGGGAACCTTGAAACAGGACACAGCCCTAGCAGGCCACTTCAGCAGAGCTCGCTTGACAATCATGGGTTGCCACTGAACGGTTGGATACCCCATGTCTCTCATCCCTGCATCCTATGGGCTTTTCAGAGGATGGATTTCACATGAGTGAAGTTCTGACTTCCTACAAGTTGGAAGTCCTAGCTTGTCAAAGAGTAAGGGTGTTGGGGCTGGGGATGTGGCTCAAGCGGTAACGCGCTCGCCTGGCATGCGTGGGGTGCTGGGTTCGATCCTCAGCACCACGTAAAAAAATAAAAATAAAGATGTTGTGTCCACCAAAAACTGAAAAATAAATATTAAAAAAATTCTCGCTCTCTCTCTTAAAAAAAAAAAAAAGAGCAAGGGTGTTATATCCAATTTCATTATGACACCCAGTAAAGAAAGCATCCCAGTTTGGGAATACCCACCTGCTCCTTAGAAGTATAGTGGTGGAAAATAATACCTGCCTTGTGGAAATGTGGGTTTCAGAGTCATTTATGGCTTCACCAGGCTGTGTGATTCGAGGAATTTTCTTAACATCTCTAAGTCTCAACTTTTAGACTTTAAGCAAGGAAGGCATAATATGGACTATTGTTTTTGACTTGCACAAATCCTTATAATAATAATTTACCAGTTATGTTCTTAGTCCCTTTAATAAGTATCTCATTAATTTAGACAAAAAAAGCATTCAGTGTAGACATTATCACTTCTATTTAAATTCCTTTTGCTCAGCCCTCCCACCTGCCTCAGTTCTGTACTCATTCTCTACCAATATAATCCTATTGTCAGAAGAGAGGATTTTTTAGTACTAGGGCCTGAAGCCAGATGCGCTTTACCATTGACCTACATCCCAAGACCTTTTTCTTTATTTTGAGACAGAATCTCACTAAGTTACTGAAGCTGGCCTGGAAAATATGATCCTCCTGCCTCAACCTCCCAAATCACTGGGATAACAGACCTGTGCCACTGAACCTGGCTGAATGGAGGTTTTTTATTTTTATTTATTTATTTATTTTAATACATACAATATCTTTCTTTATTTTCATTTATTTATTTATTTATTTATTTTTTTGGTGCTAAGGATTGAACCCAGGGCCTCATGCATGCGAGGCAAGCGCTCTACCACTGAGCCACAATGCCAGCCCCCCCCCCACTTTTAAAATATTTTTTTAGTTGTAGATGGACACAATATCTTTATTTATTTTTATGTGGTGCTGAGGATTGAACCCAGTGCCTCACACATGCGAGGTGGGCGCTCTACCATTGAGCTATAGCCCCAGCCCAGGTTTGTTTTTTAACTATAAAATTCTACAACACGGCTGATCATGGTTGT